GGGATCGAGCCCCACATGGGGCTCTCTGCTCGGCAGGGAGCCTGCTTCCTCCTCTCTCTCTGCCTGCCTCTCTGCCTACTTGTGATCTCTATCTGTCAAATAAATAAATAAAATCTTTAAAAATAAAAAAATGTAAAAAAAAAGAGTGACAGTCCAGTTAACAGTACTTGCTACCACAGGTGGTCAGGCAGAGGACCAAGTGGCTTCATTAAGAAGGGACCATTGAACCATCTCATTTGTTAGCAGGTAAATTCTGTAAGTCTAGAAAGGGACCAGAACAAGAAGCCTAACTTCAGAGGGAAAAGGTTCTTTGAAGCTTTAGGTTGATCAAAGATTCATGCTGATGATGTTTAGATCCAAAAAAAAGCAAGAAACATGTTTCCTAAATAAACAGGAAAAGAGGATAAAGCTTAATTTGTAACAATCTTTAAGTTTCTCATATTTGTCTGGCTAAAATTTCATTTATTTTTAAAGTCTTCAAAGTAGTTTCCCAAAATATGTGTGTTTGTTTTGTCAAAGGGTCAGAAATGTACAAGCTATTACTTTACGTAAAATAACAGGTATTGGTTGTAGGTACTAATGCAAAAATAACTCTCCAAAACACTCACATTGTTTAACTAAATTGAATTAGAGGCCCTCTAATCTCCTAGTGATTTAGCAACTATCTGTTTAGATTAGTTTGTGCTTAAAAAAAAAAGATGTTTCCGGGGCACCTGGGTGGCTCAGAGGGTTAAGCCTCTGCCTTCGGCTCTGGTCATGATCTCAGGGTCCTGGGATCGAGCCCCGCGTCGGGCTTTCTGCTCAGTGGGGAGCCTGCTTCTCCCTCTCTCTCTCTGCCTGCCTCTCTGCCTACTTGTGATCTACCTCTGTCAAATAAATAAATAAAATATTAAAAAAAAAGATGTTTCCTGTTATGGCTATAATATTAATTGAATAAGAAGTTACAGTACTGTGGGGTTATGGACATTGGGGAGGATATGTGCTAAGGTGAGTGCTGTGAAATGTGTAAACCTGGCGATTCACAGACCTGTACCCCTGGGGATAAAAATATATGTTTATAAAAAATAAAAAAAAAATTAAAAAAGTAAAAAAAAAAAAAGTTACAGGACTGCTATATACATACACACATGACTTTTTTCCTAGCAAGTAGACAGGATTCACTGTATATTTCATTGAATCTAAGATCCCATTGAGTATAAATTGAACCATTATCTTATATAAACCCTACCATAAATTACAGCATGTGATTGTAAGAAGTATTCAGATTTCACAGATACTAAAATGCAAAAAAAATACATTTTTGAATAATATATGATTATTAAAACATTAGAAATAACTTTTTGGTTTATATTTGCAGATTAATTTAGGAGCAACAAAAATTGCTCCACTGAATAAAATCTAAATTACAAATGTAGTATTAAATACAAAACTATAGAAAGATTAACAGGAGTAGTCATTAAATTTTAAAACTAGGGAGGTACTGGGAGGCTCAGTTGGTTAAGTGACTGCCTTCAGCTCCCAGGTCCTAGGATTAAGTCCCACATCAGGCTCCTTGCTCCGCGGGAAGCCTGCTTTTCCCTCTCCCTCACTCTGCCTGCTTGTGCTCTTTCTCTCTTTCTCTCAAATAAATAAAATTAAAAAAAAATAATTTTTTAAAGATTTTATTTATTTGAGAGAGAGAGAGAGCATGAGAGGGGAGAAGGTCAGAGGGAGAAGCAGATTCCCTATGGAGCTGGAAGCCTGATGTGGGACTTGATCCCAGAACTCAGGGATCATGACCTGAGCTGAAGGCAGTCGCTTAATCAACTTAGCCACCCAACACCCACCCCCCGACCAAATTTTAAAACTAGGAAGGTCCTTAGGGCTGCCAGAGATGTTAATAAATGAGCATTCATTTATTATATGCTTTGAAACCTATCATAAGCCAGACATTGTTAGTTGTTGGATATAGAATGATGGATAAAACACTGGTCCCTGCCTTCATGGAATTTATAGTTTATGGTGGTGAAATAAGTTTGCAAATTGCAGTGAGCACTTTAAAGGAAAAGTACAATGGTGTGAAGGAATGGAACTACAGATTCCTAACTGAGATTGAGACCATCTCTGAGGTATAGAAGAAAAGTTAAAAAGTCAGTAGAAATGAACAAAGTGAAAAGTAGACAAGAAGCAGTCTGTGCAAAAGTCTTGAGCAGGAGAGATGTTGGAGTTTTTCAGGAAGTGAAAGAAACACAAGGAGCCAGGTGGAGGTCTAGGTTACTTCAGTTGAGGTAAGACCAAATGATGCATGGCCACATAGGACCTGTTAAACATTTTGAATTCTAGTCCAACCCAGAGGGATGCCTGGAGGGTTTTAATAGAGGAAGTAACCCTGGCTGCTCTGTAAAGCCTGGATTGGAGTAAGATTCAAAGTGAAGAAGCCTCCTTAGGAGTCTGTTGTTAGTACAGACCAGCTAAGTTGGCAATTTGACCTGGGGGTTTGGAGTAGAAGATACATTTTCTTGAAGATAATATGCCAGTATCACCAAAAATCTTAATTTGTGTACTATTTGACCCAGCAATTCCATTTCACAGCATTTGTTGTGATGAAATAATCCTGTATGTATGTACAAATTGAGATACTAGTATGCATATCCCCTATTATTTATTAAGAAATTGGTTTAAGTGATTACAGTATTTTCAAACAAGCGTAAAGAAAAGAGGCAAATCATGCCAGCTTTAAGGAGGCCACATCATTCAATAAGATTTGTTTAGACAGGGAGAGTCTTCTTCATGTTTGGGTGCGTGCTAGGGAGAGAGACACTGAAAATACAGAATGGAGAAGAGATACTCATAAAACAAATTTGGGGGAGGAGAGACATTTAGGACCAAAGGGAAGATAAGCTCCTTTGTCCATGAGTGCAGGAGCTTCTGGGGTGAAAATGCACTGTGCTTCTGCAGTGTGTCTTATTTTTTGAGAACTAGCCTGGGAACCTAGCCATGCCTTGCAACATAGTTACTGGAGGGGAAAGTGTTTGCTTTTCAAACCAGAGAGTTGTAAGTGAATTTTTGGTATGCAGTCAGCCCATAAATTGGGTTCCCTGTAAATCCGAGCTTCCCTGGGTAAGTAGTAACTGAACAGGATGAAATTTTGGGAAAACATTTCTCTGTTCTCCCTGCCTTCTTGTCCTTCCTTTGCCCTCCCTCGACCAGCTCCTTCTCTCCCATTCTCTTCTTTCCTTCTCCCTTTCCCCTTCCCTTCCTGCCCTCTCTTCTTTTCCCACTCCTCTCCTCTCTCTACTCTTCCTCTTAGACACCCAAAAAGTTACATTTTATACTATAATCAGAGCAGGAAAGAGCCAGGCACTTCTAAACAGATAAAAGAATCTCCTTCCCTCCATTCTTTGTTTACCTTTTTTCTTTACATATAGGCACTTTCTATTCAGGAGTTTTCTTAGACCGTTGTGGCGGAAATATCCTACTATATGCTCTTAATGCCCACTTGCAAGTTTCAAATGTTTTGTGACCTCTACATTCTAAAACTAGACCAGTCTCTCTATGCAGGAGTATTTAACTTGTTGATTTCCACTGCCCTCACAGAATTGATGCTTCAGGAAAACCAATTAACCATTTCCTTTCTAGTGCATATTTAATTTTTAGTAAGGTTTTTTTTGCTGGTTCTCTGGAGATACTGATGCTCCATGGTTGTAATTAGCTGGAAAATTCCTAGAGGAGTTTGCATTTGACTTTTTAGTAAGCTTGCGGTTATCATCTATGGTATTTCCTTGAGTATTTCCTTTTCCAATCTGTAAAAAAAACACACAACTGTTCTGTAACTTTATAGAATATCCAAAATAGTTACTGAAATTAGCTTAGTATTTTTTAAGTTGTTACTTCTTCCAGAGCACAAATGCTTTAACTCTTTCCTTATGAATAAGGTTTTAAAATCCATGCATATGTGCATATGTGTTTTGCATTTGCTATATATATCCTCATGTGGATATAAGTGTATCTGAAATTAGCAGATGATGGGGTGCCTGGGTGTCTCAGTTGGTTAAGCCTTCAGCTTAGGTCATGATGGAGCCCCACATTGGGCTCTCTGCCAGGCAGAGAGACTGCTTCTCCCTCTCCCTGTGCTGTGCTCCCCCTGCTTGTGCTCATTCTCTTTCTCTAAGGAATAAATAAAATCTTAAAAAAAAAAAAAAGAAAGAAAGAAAGAAAGAAATTAATTAGCAGGTGCTTTACCATTTAGGCTTTGTAGAATTAGTTCTCAAAAGTTACTAGCTTCCAGATTATTTTGTTCTGATAACTCCACACTATATTATGGAGTAAAGGTCAGATGTTTGTACCAATTTTTACTTTTTATTTACAGAGTATCCCCAATGCTTTGATACGGAATTATTGTTGGGAGAATACAAATTTAATCATAATAGGCTTTGAACAAATATTGTGGGATCACAGAAGATGGATTAGGTTACAGTTAGCTTATTAAATATTTATTGTTTTTCATAAAATGAGCATATCTACCAGATTCAGTCTATAAAGACTTAAATTATTGGAAAATGCTAGAATAAATTATTGGAAATCCTTAAATTACTGGAAATCCTAGAGTAGTAAAATACTCTTCTAAATCTCTGTAAATACTTTAGGATTTGAGAGTGGTGCAATTGGAAACAATGCAGTGTTCATGAATGTGTTCGTTAATGCCACACTTAATGTCTTGGGATCCATTTTGTTAACTACCTGGGAACAAGGACTGCATTAATATTGTTAGTTAAGTCAGTACCTTCTAAATAGAACCTTTCTTTTTTAAAAGGCATTATTAAACTCACATTATCATGTGACATTGAACAAGAGTATATATGATTCACAGTGATACTTTCATACTTGGCTTAAATCATTGGGGGGGGTGGGTTAGCAGTTACCTTTTTAGCTACATGTCCAATGAAGGTATAAAATTCTATTTGTTCTTGGAAATTATTTTTTATATATTAATCTCATTCTTGTTTCTCCCTCCCTTTCAGTCGTGAGATGGAGAGTAAAGAAACTCTCAAGGGCTTGCACAAGATGGACGATCGCCCAGAAGAACGAATGATCAGGGAGAAACTAAAGGCAACCTGTATGCCAGCCTGGAAGCATGAGTGGCTGGAAAGGAGAAACAGGAGAGGCCCTGTGGTAAGTGGCCGTAGGTTACCTGATGTAAGGAAGAAAGCATAGCAGGAAGTGGGAAATGAATCATAAATAGATCCTCTTGTAAGCTTTTTTTTCTTCTTGATTTTTAAATACAGTCGTTTCATTTGCTTGATATTCTAGCCACTTGGAACAAAATATACCTAGAACTATGCTCACTAAGCACCTTAAACTGTTAAAAAGGAACTAAGCTGGTTGGGTTGGGGAGGTCATGCCCCAACACTGCCCCCTACTGTCAGTATCTAAAACCTTTTAGTAGAGACTTGTACTTGGAAAAAGAAAAGCTTTTTTTTTTTTTCTTCACATTTTATTTTGATATTCTTTCTCCGAGGTAGGATCCAAAGATATGAGTTCCAGAAATCATTCAGGAAAGCAAAAAGTTTGAATAGATTCATGGGGTTTGAGGTAAATTTAAAAGATGCCCAGGGTTTGGGGAAAGAAAACTTAGCTAGCTAGGATTAGGAAAGAAAGGCATTCTCTATCCTTTGCCATGGTTATTTTCTTTTAAAGTATACAAATACTTTGAAATGTGTTCATCTTTCTTATAAAAGAAGTAGATCTTGATTTTTAAGTTTTCCAGTATCAGTTTGTATCAGCAGGTTTTTATTTGCTTTTTGTTTGTTCTTTGTAAGTAAAGACAAGATTTATTAGATTTGGGGGAGGGCAGAGGGATGGTGGGTATAATCATAAAAGTTACTGGGCAAGCTACTCATTTGACAATTGAAACCTTCCAGCTGTATGATCATCTAGCCCTACATTCATCCCACTTGCCCCTTTTTTTTTTTTTATGAGAGGATTAGAGAGGAGGTGGGAGGAGCAGAGGGAGAGGGAGAGAGAATCTTACACAGGCTTTATGCCCAGTGCAGAGCCCAACATGGGGCTTGATCTCACAACTCTGAGATCATACCTGAGCTGAAATCAAGAGTTGGATGCTTAACCAGCTGAGCCACCCACGTGTCCCCCACTTGCCTATTTAGTTTAAATTTAAATATAAATTAGTTAGGGGTGCCTGGGTGGCTCAGTGGGTTAAAGCCTCTGCCTTCAGCTCAGGTCGTGATCCCAGCCCCGCATCGGGCTCTCTGATTAGCGGGGGGCTTGCTTTCTCCTCTCTTTCTCTCTCTCTGCCTGCCTCTCTGCCTGCTTGTCTGTCAAATAAATAAATAAAATCTTTAAAAGAATAAAATAAAATAAATAAATATAAATTAGTTAAATATAAATAAGTAAAAATTTTGTTCCTCAGCCACATTAGCCATGTTTCTAATGCTCAGTAGCCATATAGACTTCCCGCATCACTGAGCTGTGTTCTGTCTTGCACACTCTACCCAAGGGTGCTAACCCATGGAGCTAATATAGAATATATTTAATTGTTCCTTTATATACCAGCTTTTATGCTAAGCTACCATACTACCCATGAGTCCTTTCCTTTCCAGCTAAGCTTCCACATTCCTTTCATTTGTTTTTCATATGAAGTAGTATGGTGAGAACCCCTCACTGTTGCAGTAATCATGTCAGAGGATGCAGATGAAGAAATCAGGGATTCATCTTAGAAAAGAGAAAGTTCTATTGAAAACATCTTATAGAAGGGGTAAATTTCTACCCAATTAATATAAAGAACCTTTGAGTAGTTTGAATCCATCTGAAGTTTGAATGTGCTTTCTGAAGCTCCTTGTGCTGATGGAGAGTCCAGATCTTTTGAGAATACCATAAAGCAGAAATCACAACTTTTTTGAAAAGAAGCCAAAAAAGCCAAACCTTTATGACATATAAACTAAGGACAATCAGTTATCTAAGGCTGTTTTTTCTCACTGTCCCCTTTCTATCAAATTCTTGAGTACGTTATCTGTGTATAGGACAGAGGTAAAGAGGGAAGATGTATGGAATAAGACATATGACTTACAGTCCTTAAATTCAGTTATGCTACCCTACATCTCACAGTTTACAGATTTCATATTACCCTTAAGTTTATAGTCTACTTGGAGACTCTGCTTTTGTTTGTTTTTACTATGTTTATGTAGTTTAAATCAGGTCCTTCTTAAAATGTGAGGTATAAATATCTCCAATTATGAAAATGGAACTTAAAAATAAAGGCATGAGATATCACAGAACAGTATGTGACTGTATGCCAAATGTGTAGAGTGGGCAGAGAACAGTAACAGCTTAGAAGAAAAATGTCAGGCTGACAAAGTTAAGTGCACATCTGTAAAAGGTGGGATTTTAACCGACCCTTAAAAGATGGGAGTTTTGGGATGTCCGGGTGGCTCAGTTGTTACACATCTGCCTTCGGCTTGGGTCATGATCCCAGGCTCCCTGCTCAGAGGGGAGTCTGCTTCTACCTCTCCCACACTCCCTGCTTGTGTTCCGTCTCTGGCTGTGTCTCCTCTGTCTATTAAATAAAATAAAATCTTAAAAACAAAAAAAAAAAAGATGGGAGTTTTTACCAGGTGAAGGTATGCTGCCTGGTGTGCTACAGGCTGGAGATGTGATTGGCAGGGAGAGTGGGAGTGAAAGCCCAGGAAGATGACAGGTTAGTCATGTTTGGTAGGCACATCAGCAGGCTAGTAGAATAAAACAGTAGTGGGAGAAAGGCAGGGAAGATTGGCTAAGGTTACAGGGTTTGGCCTTCTGGTCAGAGCTAGATTAGGTCTCTTGAGAAACAACAGGTCTTGCACGCCTTACTACTTGAGACATTGCTTTTTAAATGTGTAGTTTCCTTTGATGATTTTGAAATACATGTCTAAACTACTGTAATAAAACATTGTATAAAAAAAAGGCAAAATGGTTTTACATTAATCAAACTATTTGGGCATTTAAATTATGCCCATTATTGTTTTCAAGATCCTGCATTTTCTCAATAGAAATGAAAAAGAAAACATCTCCTTAAATCTAGTTGAATAAATTAACTGTAGCAGGTAAAAGTGCTTATTTTTCACGTTTGTTTACTAACCTATGATTATTGATTTTGAGTGTTAAGTGATTTAGGGGACAAAATAACAGATAATACTAAATTCTAAAATTATGTGTAACATTTTAACTAGTGATAAAGCCTAAATGAATGAAATCTGTGGGTAAAAATAGTCTTAACATTTATTGTTTGAAGTAATACTAAATAAAAGTTGATAAATTGTTATATTTGTATAACATTGTGTAATGAAAACTTGAGTTCATTTTTTGGTCTGTTGTGTTTAAATTTGCTTAGTTTTTTATATGGTTAAGTAATCAGAATATTGGAATTTTAATTTAGGTGGTAAAACCAATCCCTATTAAAGGAGATGGTTCTGAAATTCACAACTTGGCAACTGAGTCACAAGGAGAGGGCCAGGCAAGCACCACGTCACCCGCTCCCAAAGGCCGACGTAGTCCTTCTCCTGGCAGCTCCCCATCAGGTCGCTCAGTGAAGTCGGAATCTCCAGGAGTTCGGAGAAAAAGAGTTTCCCCAGTGCCTGTAAGTTAATGTTTCAACAAGTATATTAAGTTTCCATAATTTTTTGATACATTTATAACCCAGAAAAGATTGGCTAGCTGTCTGTTACAGCAACATTTCTCCGAGTGTAGTCCACAGACCCTTGGTTGGGGGAAGAGCGCAGGTCCCAAGACCTTTTCTGTGGCTCCATTAGATCAAAACAAATTTTGTAATAAAACTGAGATCTCACTTGCCTCTTTAACTGCATAAACATTTACAGTGGTGGGTAAAGCTGATGCATTCACCTAAATTAAGGCTATGACAACAGGAACCGGGGTATTTTTGGCAGACATTTGCCTTAAGACAAGTTAAGTGAAGGAAGGAACTTCAAGAAAGAAAATTGAAGTGTTTTTTCACCAGGGAGTTTCGAATTTCGGGAAACTCCTATCCACCACTATAAACTTGACAGTTTCCCAGTACTTGAATTTTCTAACAAGATTGGTGATGTTTCCAGATGTGACCTTTTTTTAATGTATTGCACAGCGAAATGCGTAAACATTTAGGAAATCTGCATAACTTGGTGAACCAGTATTTTCTTAATGACCAATGCATGATGAAACAAAATCATCCTTAGGTAAATGATCCATTCAAATTGTGAAAGATAGACCATCTGGATTTTCATGTGTAACAGTAGGAAAAGTTTGTTGATGTGGTTTCAGATTTCATATCACAGTCTTGGGACTAGTATCAAAGAAGAGTGTTCATAATTATTGTAAGTCTTTTAAAATACCTTTTCCAGCTGCATATATTTGTGAAGCCACATTTTCTTCATGTACTTTAACCAAAACGTCATTATCACAGCAGACTCAATGCAGAAGTATGGATGAGAATCCAGCTGTCTTCTATATTAAATCAGACATTAGAGAGATTTGCAAAATGTAGGTGCTTTCTGAGAGAGAAAGACTTCTAGTGGCAGAAATGCAAGTTAAAATTTACTTTCTGAACTTGAAGAGCAAAGAGCAAATGAGTGGGTGGTAGAATGACTAAGATCATGACCACAGGGGGGGAATCTGGTTTTCCTCTGATCAGCATATAAATCCTTCCAAAAGTAAATTTTTTTACATTAAAGTCCAAACTACCTAACAGTGTTTATTGGCTTTATGTTGACACATCTTTAAATGAGCCATTATTTTTATTTTTTTTTTAAGATTTTATTTATTTATTTGACAGAAATCACAAGTAGGCAGAGAGGCAGGCAGAGAGAGAGGAGAAAGCAGGCTCCCTGCTGAGCAGAGAGCCCGATGCGGGGCTCGATCCCAGGACCCTGAGATCATGACCTGAGCTGAAGGCAGAGGCTTAACCCACTGAACCACCCAGGCACCCCGGAGTCATTATTTTTAAACTTAAAACAAGAACAGTCTTGTTTTTGCTCATGTAAATTAGGCAGGGCTCAGCAAGAATGACTTATGTCTGTTCCTCATGGTATCTGCTGAAGCTGGAATATCCAAGATGCTTCCTCACTCGTGTGTCTGGTGCTTCAGCTGGGATACCAGAACAGTTGGAGGCTGTTGGCATCTCTTCCTCATAGCATGGAAGTTAGGTTGCAACACCAAGTTTTGCAAACTAGGAGACAGCATGGAACAGATTCTCTCTGTCCTCAGATGGAACCCTGCTGACACACCTGTTCTTGGACTTCTAGCCTCTGGAACTATGAGACAAAAAAAAAAAGTGTATCAAGAGGGCAAGTCCAGTGTGGAAGCTTTTATCAAACTGCCTTGTTTCCTAATGCCTTATTGCCCAAAGGTAGTTACATGCTAGTTGCATATCCAGAATCAGTGTGGTGGTGGACTACACAAGGGTGTAAATACAGGGAGGTATGGTTTATAGGGGACATCAAAGTATAAAAGTCTACCACAAGTATATACAGAATTGCATTTCCCCTTCACTCCCCCTCTTTAGGATATGTGTTAGTCAAAATTACCTCTTGTTCTTTTTAACACCAAGTTTAGCCTTTCATTATCTGGATAGATCATACTTTATTTAATAACTGCATACTAATTAATGGACATGTATATTCCTTGTTTTCATTTCATTTTCATTTCATTACTAAAAAAAACAGTCCTGCAAACATACTTTTTATGCATATGGCATTTTACACATTTGTGAGCATATCCATAGTCTGAATACTTAGGTCATATAGCATGTACATGTGTACTTGTTTTTTCTTTTACTTTTTAATAACTGCCTACTAAAAAAGTAATGGCTGGATTGAGATATAATTCCTATACTGTACAATTTTACCTGTTTAAATTGTACTATTCATTGGGTTTTGGTCTATTCAGAGTTGTAGCCATCACTATAGTCAACTTCAAAACATTTCCATCACCCCAAAAAGAAACCGCAGACAATTAGCAGTCTCTGCCCAGCCCTTGGCAACTATTAATCTGCTTTCTTAGTCTATATATAATTTGCCTGTTCTAGTTATTTCATAAACAGTAAATGGGATCATTCAGTATATGTTTTTTTTTTTTATTGGTTTCTGTCACCTATCATCATGTTTTTGAGGTTCATCCATAGTATAACTTGTACCAGTACCCCCATTTTGGGTTTTTTTTTGGCTTTTGTTTTTCCCCCCACAAAATATGTTTGTTTATCAATGTGTGGGTTGATTTTTGCCACATACATACATATTTTAACATAAAAATATTAGCTATGCCATATTCATGGGGGTTGTTTGTTTGTTTAACATTCAAAACTAATTTCCAATTGACCCAATTCTCTGTAATTCTGTTTGAAGGTACTTCATTTTTAACTATAGAATAATAGTCTTTTGTATGGATAAACACATTATCCATTTGTTAGTTGCTGGACTTCTGGGTTGTTTCCACTCTTTGGTTATTATGAATAATGCTGTTTGGAACACTTGTGTACAGATCTCTTTGTATCTTTTCACCTCTCTTGGGTTTATACCTGAAGGTGGAATTGCTGGCTTATGTTTTCCAAAGCAGCTGTACCATTTTATTTTCCCACCACTGTATGAGGGTTCTAATCCCTCATGTTCTCACTAACATTTATTACCTTTAGCAATTAAACGAGGCATCAAAAAGGACTAGAATTCCCCCTGGGCACTGATGTAGAAAGTCCAAGTTCTAGAGGAATCAGTGGAGTGGAATGAGTGATATATATCACCTTTACCACAGGAGATTTTGTCTGCCTTCAGTGAAATGTCTTAATCTGGGGAAAGTCACTTACTAGTTCTCTACAGAATATACGGGAGGAATTCCATGGTAGTTATAAATTACCAGTTGCAAAGAACATTTAGTAACATGTTAAGTGGAAGCCAGGAAATTGGATGTTTAATTTTTATCACTAGAAACAATTCATTTTGCTTGCTTATGGATGAATTTTTATGCTTTTAATCTTGGTTTACCTGATACTTTTCAAAGAACTCAAATATTTACATTTTGTAAAATTACCACATAGTTGTCTCACTTGGCCAAATATTTGTCATTAGTTATAAGGATGACTGAGATTTTAGAAGTTTACTGGTGATGCATATGTCAGATAAACATTTGCAAAACACATTTTGTCCCGTTATATTTTGGAGCATTTTTTCAGAATATAAAATGCCACGTGGCCATATCTGGTATGACCCTTTTGGAGGTCATTGATTCTTATCAAGAAGTAAGTAATATAACTAACACAAAAACAACGTTGTGAAGTTTCAGAGTGGGCGAATCACACCACCTCGAAGAGCCCCTTCACCAGATGGCTTCTCACCATATAGCCCTGAGGAGACAAACCGCCGTGTAAACAAAGTTATGCGGGCCAGGCTGTACTTACTGCAACAAATAGGACCTAACTCTTTCCTGATTGGAGGAGACAGCCCAGACAACAAATACCGGGTGTTTATCGGGCCTCAGGTAGGATTTTTCACCATTTTACATTTTATTAGTATCTGGTATTAACTCAAATGTATGTACTATAACAGTTGAAATTTAGATGAGTTAATTCTCTTTAGTTAACTAAAGTGAATTTAAAATATATTTTAGGCTAATAAACATTTTTATTTGATGTATTTGTGAAGGTCTCTAGTATGACTCAATATACTTTAGACCACAAATCTGATTTAATAAATTCACCAAAAATAAGAGATTAAGTCATAGTGTAGACTTTTCTTACATATTCTTATATACTTTACTATGTAAGAATAATGAAGCAAATTAACAGAAACATTGTTAAACTTGGAAATTTTAAAGAAGTGATCATCTTAGGAATTCTAATGGAACCACAGATTTATTACCGATAAATTCTCTTGTAACTCTTTAGAACTGCAGCTGTGGCCGTGGAACTTTTTGTATTCATCTGTTGTTTGTTATGCTCCGGGTGTTTCAACTAGAACCTTCAGACCCAATGTTATGGAGAAAAACCTTAAAGAATTTTGAGGTAATTTTTAATAAATGCTTTAGAGTAAAACTGCTAACAATTTTTTATGGCTCATTCCTGGCAATTTCCCATGAGCTATAAATTTAAAGAGACATTTTGAAGGTGTGAAGATATTTAAGGATTGAGACTTATCTCTTATAATTCATTGACTAGTTTTTTTCTTCCAGATTGAAAAGAAAGTAAACACTGACATGTTATAATGAATATTGTCTTTAGTAAACTATATATGTTCTTATTTTTGAAGCTCTTAAGATTGGCTTTGTGAAAAATTTATGAAATAAAAGACAGTGGAACCTCTAGAACTCTTTATATGTATGTTATAGTGTGAATATCATTGTTACTGTCTTTTTTCAATGTTAGGTTGAAAGTTTGTTCCAGAAATATCACAGTAGGCGTAGCTCAAGGATCAAAGCTCCATCTCGTAACACCATCCAGAAGTTTGTTTCACGCATGTCAAATTCCCATACATTGTCATCATCTAGTACTTCTACATCTAGTTCAGAAAACAGGTTAGTACAATTTAAGGAATTAAAAGCATTAATTCAGTGTTACTTTTTAATTATAGGGGTAATTTTTTGTATTTACTTGTTAAGTTGCTCGAAAATAATTACTATATCTTGGCTTTGAAGTTAAAATCAAGGGTAAACAATAGTTAAAGGTCATCTGAGTATTTGTGTGTATACATATATATATATATATGGACTTTTCATCCCGAAAAACTACGCTGTTGAAAAATGGCACCATAAAAATCAGAATATAATAGGCACTTCATAAGAAAAATCAGGTGGCAAGTATAAAATATAAGTGGCTACTGTTTATCAATCATTACTTTTTGCCAAGCACCTAATATGGTTTCTCATTCTGTTCTTATACAAACCTCATTACATGGTTTTACCACTCTTTGGCAGACAGTAAAGTTAAGCTACTGTGTAAAAAATAGGTCTTTAGTTCTTTTATAAACAAATTATATACAAGCCAAAGTGGTTTTCCAAAATCAGTTTCCCATGTAGTACCTTAAATTGTATGACATCACTACTTCTTTCATAGATACTTTCACAGAATCCTCATTACAGGCTGTTTTATGTGTGAGAACACAAGGATGCTCTTCTAAACAGATTAATCATTTGTAATTAAGTGATACAGTAGCTGTTAATCACAGGTATTTAAAATCTACAGTGCTTCTCAAACTCTTCCATTGCCTAGCTGCTAATAAGAATGAACAACTAATGCTGAGAATCTGAAATAAGCCCAAAATGACAGGTGTGAAAAAATTTTCAATTCTCATCTGAATTTTCTTTCTTTTCTAAGCTCTTTATTGGGTTTCTTCATTGGTTCCTTCACTGGTAAAAATGAGTTTTTAAAATTACTCCAGAAAAGGAATGCTGCTTCTCTTAAAAGGGCACCTCCTATTATGTTCCCGAGGTGCCTGTTTGAGAAGCAGTAGTCTTAGTGATTAAGTCCCATCTTCATATCAGCAATTTTTTTAAGTATTATTACTACTTCAAAATTAATGAAGAATGGAAAGTAATGAGGTCAGGGATTTGTAAAGAAAAGAATGGATAGATATATGGGAAAAGTAAATGTTTAAATTTTCTTATTTTTTATTAAATGAATTGATTTTAGAATTGCAGAGTTTTACAAGTTTTTGGGGGAATTAGAGATTTCTAGTTTACATGGTTTAGTGATAACTGAAACCAAAAGAGGTCATGCAGCTCAGCCGAGCAAAGGAAGAACCAGAACCTCAGTATCTTGACTTCTAGTTCAGGGCTCTTTCTCTTACTCCTTATCTCTTGTAAATAGATGAAAAAGTGAGCTTTATTTCTTGAGCTTCATGACCCAAACTTATTCTGGAACCCTCCTCCTTTTGATTCACATTGCTATAGCTTTTTGCTTTGGAAAAGAAAAAAAAAAATGTTTAAAACCAGGTAGCCAAAGTTAAAATAGAAAGTTTCTCTCTAAAATAAATGAAGATAACTTCCAAATATGGACTGGCCATAATATGGAGGTTTTGTTTATTCACTTGGATTAATATATATATGGGGGGGAACCACTGAAGCTGTCATCTTGATATACTGACATGATACTATATAGGTAGGTAGGTTAATGTTTCATGTAACCACAAATTTTTATATGTAAAGACTACAATAAAAAAAAAAAAAAACAGGAAATCTGTCTGGAGACCTGATTGCATTGTATTAATTTTAAATTATATAAGAAACAACAAAAGCCAGAATTAGGACAAAGTGAACCTAAGGTCTTAGTACATAAATGGGCAAAGGGCGTGAAGAGAACATTCACAAAAAAATTTCAAGAAGCTAACAAACATACTAAGGAAATGGTCATTAAAAAAAAGATTTATTTATATATTTGTATAGATATTTAGATATTTATATAGATTTATTTAGATAATTTTTCAGACAGTTCAGTTCTTGTATAAGGATTTGCTTCACCGTATGTCAAGTTCTGTAGCCCTCTGGAAAAAAATGTGTTTTTCTAAAAAACGTTTATATTTGTTGACGTAGTAAATGTACTTTTTATTTATTTGACACAGAAAGAGAGATCACAAGTAGGCAGAGAGACAGAGAGAGAGGGAAAGCAGGCTCCGCGCTGAGCAGAGAGCCCGATATGGGGCTTGATCCCAGGACCCTGAGACCATAACCCGAGCAGAAGGCAGAGGCTTAACCCACTGAGCCACCCAGGCGCCCTGTAAATGTACTTTTTTGACAAAAAATTTTAATCTGAGAAATGCACAAGATTTATATATATAACCCTGTCACAGTATTATGGAAAAAATTGAGAGCAGCTTAAATATCCAGCCAGGGAATGGTTAAAGTATACCCATATTAGGAATAGTTCATGCAGCAGCTATTAAAATTATGCTTCTGGGGTGCCTGGGTGGCTCAGTTGGCTAGGCATCCAACTCTTAATTTCAGCACAGATCATGATCTCAGGATTGTGAGACTGAGCCTGGTCTCCGGCTCTGAGTTTATCAGGGAGTCTGCTTCAGATTCTTTCCAGTTTTTTGCCCCTTTCCCCTGTTGTCGCTTGCTGTCTTGTGCTCTCTCTCAAATAAATAAATAAATCTTTAAAAAAAATTATGGGGACACCTGGGTGGCTCAGTCGGTTAAACGTCTGCCTTCCACTCAGGAGATCATGATCCCGGGGTCCTGGGATCGAGTCCCACATCGGACTTCTGTCTGTTGGGAGCCTTTTTCTCCCTCTGTCTGCTGCACTTCCTGCTTGCTCGCTTAATCTCTCTCTCTCTCTAAATATTTAAAAAAAAAAAATTTTTTTTTTAAATTTTGTAGTCTGAAGAATACTGAATGGCATGAAACCAAATCCAGGTTATGTAATACTGTATGTTATGCCTGAATCTAATTTTTATATATAAAGGTATTGTGGGTGTATACATAATGAGTAAGAATTTTAATGGTTATTAACAGGTGGCATTATTATGGGTGACTTTAAATACTTCGGGCTTTAAGGTTCATCACCTTGTAGCTGAAATAGCCATACAGGATAAATGAATAAATGGGTTAGGCTGTGTTCTGGTAAAACTTTATTTACAAAAGTTGGTACAGGCTAATGTGATCCCCTTGTAGTATGCTAATACCTGCTCTCTATTCAAGTGACTTTACTTCTGAGAAAATTATGGTAAAAAGAAAATGTATAATGTAGAAGTGGGCACAAAAATATTTCTGCTGGTTTCTTAAAAGGTGAAAATAGAGAAACAATTCATGTCCAGCAATAAAAAGATGCTGAAGTCAGAAAAGCATTTGAGGGGTGCCTGAGTGGCTTAGTTGTTAAGTGTCTGCCTGCAGCTCAGGTCATGATCCCAGGGTCTGGAATCCAGCCCCACATCGCTTCGGTCTCCCTGCTCAGTAGGAGGCCTGCTTCTCCCTCTCCCACTACTGCTTGTGTTCCCTCTCTTGCTGTCTCTTTCTCTGTCAAATAAATAAATAAAGTCTTGCAAAAAAAAAAAAAAAAAAAAAAAAGTATTTGAGTGATAAGTTATACTTGCAATTGGACTAAATTGTGGAATTTTTTTTTCTTCTAAGTCATTTGAATAAGCTATTTTTGGTGTAATTTGAAAGTTACTTGACCTGGGATCTCTGCCATTCATATGTTTATTATAGATTGTTGTACAAGTAATTTCTGCCATGTATCTGTTCATTTTTATCATTACCACATACATATATTACCACATACCACATACATTGACAGCACTTCCCCATTCCACATAGCTCCATAATTATGAAAAGAGATGAAGAGAAGGGGCAAATAATCAGGAGGGAAAGAGACTAGTATGTGTGCCTTCACCTCAGGAACCATGCATCATGACTTTGTTGCACCTGTTTGTTCAGCTTTTATGAAAGTTTTTTAAGCAAACTGTTACTTTGCTGTCATCCAGACTGTTTTTCAGGAACTATAGCTTAAGGTTGTAGAAGTCTAATATTAGGCCCAGAGAAAAGCCTAAGCTTAGTAGAGACTCGAATTTGTTGGAGTAGGCAGAATATGAACTATTCTCCTCAAATTAAAGCATAGCACAAACTGATTTTAATGGTCTTTGGCAGCTTATTTAACATCTCAGAACCTAGTCTGTGTACTGTAATGGAAACAATATTATTGATTTTTAAAAGCCACTCGTGACATCATGAAGGTTCAACAAAAATTTATAAAATACAAAACAAAACCCCTCTCTTCCAGTCTGAGCTACATACAAAATAACTAATGTTAACAGTTTAATACAACTTTTAAAAACTGAAATAAAACTCTCCCCTGCATTGTTTTTTATATACATACACACACTCCTTAGTACTTCTCTCATCTTTGTATTTTAAACAAATATAAATTTCATGCTTTAAATTTTGATCTGAAACTTTTTTTTTTTTTTTAATTTTAGATACCAGGATGATTTTCCTGAGTCAGTACAAAAGTACACACTACTTTCTTTTTATGGCTGTATAAGATAATGTAGATAGGACACAATTTATTTTGCCATTGCCGTAATTAATGGACATTTAGTACCCCCAACTTTTTTCCTATTAAATGCAATACATTTGCTTTGTTTATATATTCCAAATAACTCTGTAGGACAGCATCCTAGAAAATAGGTTTTTTAGGTCATGCATATGTACATCAAGTAATTTAAGAAATATTAGCACATTCCCTTTCAAAAATTTCAGTTTTTACTCCCACCAGTAGTGTATATGAGAACTTGTTTTCCTATGCCAAAATGAAGGCCAGATGTTACCAACTTATAGAATTTGTGTCAACCAGATTATTTAAAAAAAAGATACAGTTTCATTAATATGCATTTGTAATTCAGTTTTCATACTTAATTGGCTATTGGTGTTTTTCATTTCAGTTGCTTTTTCATCTTCTTTGCCCATTTTACTATTGAATTACTAGTATTTTTCTTACTGATTTTTAAAAGCACTTGGTGTAGTAAGAGTGTTCGAATATATACGGTATACTTCAAATATACACAGTAAAGTTGCAATTTTGCCATATATTGAAATTGTTCTATACAAATTAGAATTCTGTCATGCTTTTTTTCTCCCACCATATAGTATATTGTGGATGTTTTTGTCATTATTTATGAATGTCTTAGATCCTTTTTAAAAGCTTCACAGTGTGTGGTGTACTATTTTTTTAACCTTTTGATGTTCATTTGGTTGATTTTTTCCTTTATGCTAAATAATACTGCAGTGAAGATCTACAGATATAGATACAGATATTCATTATTCTATTTCCTTATGATACATTCCTGGAAGTCTAATTGAAGGGTTTTGCTTATTAACAATGTGACATATGTTTTAGCTTAGTTTCTAGGAAAGTTGGACCAGTTTATAGACCCACAAAAAGCACCTGTGATGGGCCTTCATACTTACATGGATAGATGGAGCTCTAAGGTCCTTTTCAATAATTGAAATCTTGAATCTGTTGGCATATCACATTTCCATATCGTCAGACCTTATAGTAGGTGTTCAAAAGGTACAACTGCAGAATTTTGGGGATACATAGATCTCTAAGATTGTACTTCATATTTTGAATTGTATTCATAGCAAGGGAAGCTTAACGCATACCCATAATCTATAAATATTAGCGGTGTGACTCTTACTTAAAATTACTCTATAGTAATAGAAGAAATAAATATTTCTCAAATAGTTCTATAGATGTTCCTAACAAGAATTTCTAATGAGTTTTTTTCATATCGTAAAGAATCCAAAATTGTTTTTAGCTGTGGTGTTAATTCTGCATTATATTCTTGGGCATTTAATGCTTTCCTTTCTCCTTCCTCACAGTATAAAAGATGAGGAGGAACAGATGTGTCCTATTTGCTTGTTGGGCATGCTTGATGAAGAGAGTCTTACCGTGTGTGAAGATGGCTGCAGGAACAAGCTGCATCATCACTGCATGTCAATCTGTATGTGTCTCTTTTTCTCCCTGTGCCTACTCAGCACAGTTACTTTAGGAGTTAACTATATTCTTTAGGATTTTAACATGACTTTTGGGGAGACTGGGGAGAGAAGAAAAGAGGTATATCTAGGTCCTTATGTAAAGTTTTCAATGAAATGGAGTTGAGGACCTCTTAGGACATGAGCTTTGTGAGCAAAGAAATGTAATATAGGGTGATACATGTAGTAATGGAAAGCATGCACAGGATTGAAAACATAATTCTTAACTGGAAAGTGTACGTGGAGGTGAGGAGGTAGAAGACCTGGGCAGGAATGACGGGTAACATGAAAGCAAGTTTTGGAATGACTTTACGAGGTAATCAAGTGGGCAGAATGTTCTAAAAAACAGTTAGCAAAATACATGTTGTAACAAAAAAAAAAAAAACATATGTGAAAGGTACATGCATCAGAATAATTTTACCTCTTGTGTTTGCCTGCTTCAGGTAATTACATCAAAGTATTTTTTGAGGTTCCTTCCTATAAACCTGTACTAACCATTAGCAGCAATTATTACATACAACTATTTAATGTTAAGTATTTATATTTTTTGAAGTTTTTTTCCTCTAATTTTTCAGGGGCAGAAGAATGTAGAAGAAATAGAGAACCTTTAATATGTCCCCTTTGTAGGTCTAAGTGGAGATCTCATGATTTCTACAGGTAACAGTTTTTGAATTAATGATGTAGACATGTTTAATAAAAAATAAAAGTGTTACTAAATTTTTTAACAAACTTTTGTTAATTTTTCATTTAGCCACGAGCTGTCAAGCCCTGTGGATTCCCCTTCTTCCCTGCGAGCTGCACAGCAGCAAACCATACATCAGCAACCTTTGGCTGGATCCCAACGGAGGAGTCAGGAGAGCAATTTTAACCTTATGCATTATGGAACTCAGCAGATTCCCCCTGCTTACAAAGATTTAGCTGAGCCATGGATTCAGGTAAATAGTTTTTATTCTTCATTTCTCAAATAAACCTTTATAGACCAATTAATGTAGCTATCTCCCAGTTGTTCTAACTTAAGAAAGTACTTTTGCTTGCCTCCATCATGACTGATAATTTGACTGAAAAATTTTACCTCTGGTATTAACACTCATCTGCTTATTAAAGAGTTTAAACTTCAAACATTCTTGGAGTCTCACCTCCCATCTCTAGAAAAATCTCAGAACCATCAGACATCAGGATTATCTAAGGATAGAGGCTGGACTCCTTCAGTGCTAACTTGTTCAAATGTTTAATCCCATTTCTACGAAGAATTTTCTGTCATTTTTCTTTTTATGACCATTTAAACTCAGTTTCTCTTTTCTGTATCCTCATGGCATATAGTAGGTGCTTAATAATTGCTGAGTGGATGAATAAGAAAAAAAACATACAGCTTTTGCCTTATATTAGCCATTTTTATTTGAAAGGGCAGTTTCCATTTTTACTTTCTCTTCTGATGAAATCTTTTTTCTTACTCGGTAAATTGGAATTTCTGTTAGTTGGTTGGTTGGATTCTAGTGATTTTCTTTGTTGTTGTCTGCTTAGTCTGTTATTTTTTACAAATGTAGAATCCCAAACTAAACAATGTCTCCAGTAGACAGTAGTGAAGTAAAATGTTTTCAGTAAACTGTTAAATTCTTTTTAATACTATTAAATTTGTAAACAGACACACTGACTCATTCAGTTTGTATGTCATTAGGATTTCCTTTTACTTTTTAATGACCATTGTCCTGCAGCTTTTGAATTCTTTTCTTAGTATGTAAGTAACCTATCATGAATCTAATAAAATTTGGAAACTTAAAAAACATAACCTTATTTATCTCATTCATTAATGGTATTGAACATAGGCCCTTACCCTGCCCCTGCATGAGTCCTCAAGAGAATTCTCAAAGTTGGTACTCAGGAGCTAGGGATGCCATTCTTTCGTGGTTTTTTTGTTGTCGTTTTTGTTTGTTTATTTTGCAGTATCTGTGTTTTGCTTTGTTTTTTAATTTTATTTTATTTTTTCGGTGTTCCAGGATTGTTTATGGATGCCATTCTTTCAGGGCAGTGGTGTAGTCAGTTTTGTTTAAGCTTTAGGCTGGACTATGCTATCTACTAGTTTTTTATTAAGAATATGACATAAGAAAAAAAAAAAAAAGAATATGACATAAGACAGAATTAAGACTTAGGTCATGGTATGCTATTTAACACTGCATGCCAGACATAAGTTGACTATTCTAGTTGATTTATTCTCCTTTACTGTCACCTTGTAATGGAACACATTTAAATAAATCATTTATTTGCCCTAAAAATTCAGAAATTTTTCATAAGATAAGTTATCTTGGGTCTTAAGTTTACTTTTAACTGATTGGCCCATAATGTCAAGACCATGTACCCTTTCTTTGCAGGCATGGTGATTTGCTGATTTGAACACAAGTTTTTTTCTTGAGATTTTTCCACTCCTTAATTGTAGTTCCATCTTTTTTGTTGAGGGTATTTTTTTTCCTTAACCTTTTTCTGCAAGACAAAAATCACATTTAAAGTTTTTGACTTAACCACTGTCATCTGTAGGAGAAATACTCTGTATCTCTTTGGACACTCCACTGCCTTTTTTGATTTGGGTTTATCTTGCTTCAGTTTTTTTCTCTGTAACTAACCTTAATACAAAGTTGGGGTTCTAAACAGATTTTTTTTTGTGTCATAAGTATAATAGTACAAAAACATATACATATCCATCTAATTACTTAATGAAGTTCACTCTTAATTTTGTTTACACCAATGAATGTTAAGGAGTTTGGGTAATTACTAGTTAATCTTGAATATAAAATTCCTCCTTCTGATTTTTAAGTTGCTGGACATAACTTGAACCTGTAGATTGGTGAAGATTTAAGAAATGTCCACAATTTTCCTTTAGTAATCAAAAATCATGCTTATTTTCAAATACTTGAGACTTACCAGTTTTTCTTCACATTGAATTGTTTGACTACAGGTATTTGGAATGGAACTCGTTGGCTGCTTATTTTCTAGAAACTGGAATGTAAGAGAGATGGCTCTCAGGCGTCTTTCCCACGATGTTAGTGGGGCTCTGCTATTGGCAAATGGGGAGAGCACTGGAAATTCTGGGAGCAATGGTAGAAGCAGCCCAAGTGCTGGAGCCAGTGGGTCTTCCCAGACCAGTATCTCAGGAGACGTGGTAGAGGCATGCTGCAACGTTTTGTCAATGGTCTGTGCTGACCCTGTCTACAAAGTGTACGTTGCTGCTTTAGTAAGTAGCTTTATTACATAACCAAAGCATTATGGGTGGGTTTTTGTTTTGTTTAGAACTTGTAGATACCACTCTTAAGATCCAGTGAAACTACTTTATCTGATTTAATTTTGGAAAATCCAAATTTTTATTCCATAATCCCAAGAAATTGCAGTTTTCTATTTAATCTCTTCATTTGGATTTTACTTGGTTTTTTTGTTTTTGTTTTTGTTTTTTTAAAGATCTTATTTATTTATTTGACAGACAGATCACAAGTAGACAGAGAGGCAGGCAGAGAGAGGAGGAAGCAGGCTCCCTGCCGAGCAGAGAGCCCGATGCGGGGCTCGATCCCAGGACCCCGAGACCATGACCCGAGCCAAAGACAGAGGCTTTAACCCACTGAGCCACCCAGGCACCCCTGGATTTTACTTGTTTTAACCTATTCAGGTTTTCTTATATGCTGGTTACTTTTATCCCCTAAAATAGCCATGTCTTGCTGTTCCTATCTTTAAATCTTCCTAGTACCTTATACATGATCAAATTAAAAATGCTTTATGGGAGGGGAGGCCTGGGTGGCTCAGTCAATTGAGCCTCTGCCTTTGGCTCAGGTCATGATCCGAGAGTCCTGGGATCAAGTCCCACATCGGGCTCCCTATTCAGCTGGGAGTCTGCTTCTCCTTCTGCCCCCTTCCCCCTGCTCATATACTCTCTCTTTCTCAAATAAATAAAATCTTAAAAAAAAAAAATGCTTTATGGGATAGCAAGTGATCATAGTTCCTTTGATTTTTTTAAAAAAATTTGACATTAGACATTAAGGAGAACTGATTATTAATAAACATTGTTGTATGGAAATTCAGGATCCTTTTCACAGAGGAGGGTTCCATGACATAGATAACTGAGTTGTTTTTCTAGTTGAAGCTGTTAAAAGTTGTCTTTCATGAGTGGGATGGAATGAGGAGGTTGTTTAATTTGTAATTTTGGAGGCTAACTTGACTTTCTCCATTTTGAGTATGTATATCTTTAGAACAGGATTTCTCAACCTCAGCACTCTTGACATTGAGCCAGATAATTATTTGTTGGGGGCAAGGGTGCTGTCTAGTGCACTGTATGATGTTTAGCACCATCCCTGGCTTCTACCCACTACGTATTAGTAGCAAACCTCTCTTCTCCCTCCCATCTCCTTCATGACAGCCAGGAATGTCTCCAGGCATTGCTGAGTGTCCCTGAGGGTCAAAATTGCCCCATTTCATGACGACTGCTTTAGAATAATTCTTACCTAGTTCTTTCTTCTTTTAACTAGGCTCCAAGCTCAGGTTTTTTAAAACTAATTAATTTCTCTGCTTCCACTCTCCGTCTTCTTGTAATCCATCCTGTAAGAACTATGCCCAGTGAATCTTCTTTTTGAGATGTAGTAATATAGCCTGATGGTTATGAACATGAATTTGGAGTTAGAACTGAGTGATTTCATAACTGACCATCCTAACTGGGGTACTTGAATAATCTGCTAGTTAAACTGGGACTAGCCTAGGCAGTCTGAACGTAAGATCAAGATTATAGAGACCTTAATTGAAATTCTGGTTCTTCCGTTTGCTGGCAGTGTGACTTTAGGACTCATTAAATTTCAACTTTCTCACATAAAATAATGAAAATATTACCTGTTAGGTTTGAAATGAGATTGTGTAAACCTCTAGCCATAAAGTGTGGCACATTGTAAGAACACTGACTACATAGTAGCCATCAGTATTCCTTAAAGACCACTTTGGTTATTCCCTGGGTTAGAAACCCTTAGAGGATTAGCAGCATTTCCAAAAGCGTATTCCATGGCAGTTTAGCAGGATTATGAAAACTTCCCCTGAAGGAAGAGTTCTCTGTTCAGTTAAAATTGATGAGCAGTGAATTATACAAGTTAAGCAGGTCTGTACACTGCAAGGCTTCTAGGAACCTTCAGTGAAATAATGTACATTAGGAATTTATAAGAGCAAGAAGTAGAATGCATTATTTCCCAAACTATCTTACCATGGTCTGGTTTTTTCATGTAGAATATCCAGGGACCAGCAACTATAAAGACCAATGTTCTTGGCCCAACTTTTTACCTCTTTTTCTTACTGTTTTCCAACACAAACCTTCAGGCATACTTAACTGTTGAAAGTACTGCCTTACTGTCTGGTTGTTTCTTCCTAAGTTCAGATGGTTTCCCATCTAGTTTGTGAACTGTGTAGTGAAAGGACTCTGAGAATCAGACTATACTCTTGATTCCTCTATAATTACTTAGTGTGCCATGCACAGTGGAAGCAGAAATGGCTCCATCCCTTAAAGCTCTCCATTCTCCTTCTCCCTTCCCTTTGTCCTTCCTGTTTTCCCCTCCCTTCCCTTGCCATATACAATTCTTAGCTGAACCATTTGAGAGTTATTTGTGGGCATCACGACATGACATTTTAGCTCAAATATTTTAGCCAGTAGTTTTTAAGAAAAAATACATTCTTCCGTATAACCACAATGCAATCAGCAGACTCGGGAAATTTAGCATTAATAACAATATTATTATGTACTTATGAAATCCATAATTCAGATATCCCGTTGTTGCAACAGTCTCCTTTATAGCTAAGCCACAGACTTTACTCAGTTTTTACCAGTTTTTCCATTAATGTCTTTTTTGTTCCAGGATCTAGTCCAGAAACTCACATTGCATTTAGTTAACTGTACTCCCTTAATCTCTTCCCATCTGTGACATTTCCTTAATCTTTCCTTGTCTTGGATACATCTTGACATTTTTGAAGTGTGCTGGCCACTTATTTTGAAGAATGTCCCTCATTTTTGGGTTTATCTGTTTTTTTCTCATGATTTGATAGAGTTTATGCATTTTCATAAGAATATGAGAGGTTGGGGTGCCTGGTTGGCTCTGTCGGTTAAGCATCTGCCTTTGGCTCAGGTCAAGATCCCAGGGTGCTGGGATGGAGCCCCACATCCGGCTTTCTGCTCAGCGGGGAACCTGCCTCTCTGCTCCCTCTGCTGCCGCTCCCCGGCTTGTGTTCTCTGTCAAATAAATAAAATCTTCAAAAAAAAAAAAAAAAAGGAATGAGAGGTGATTTGCCATTTTAGTGCACTGTATCAAAGGATATATAATGTTGATCTGTCTTATTATTGGTGATGCGGTCTTTCATCATTTGGTTAAGTAGAGTTTATTGGGTTTCTTGCTATAAAATTACTATTAATAAATGTCTTAGGGGAGATACTTTGAGGCTGCAAATATCTTCTATTTCTCTTAAGAATTTTGCCCACTGATTTTAGCATTTGTCAGTGGATCTTGCCTATAGCAGTTATTATTATGGTGTTCTAATGGTGATTTTCTATTTCCCTTATTCCTTCTATATTAATTAATTAGAATTCTTCTATCAAGAGGAACAAACTGTCTCTTCTCCCCCCATTTATGTATTTATTCAGTTTTTAAATTTATACCAATATAGACTGATGGGTATTTATTTTCTCTGTGGATTATAATCCAGTACTATCATCATTTAATTTGTTGCTTATATTATTTGAGCTTTGGCCATGAGAAGCTCTTTTTTAACTTACTTTAAAATTCATTCTTCAAAAATTGCAGAAATAGTTCAAGAGTTTCCTTATACCCCACTGTTTATTCATATATGTATATATGTGTGTGTGTGTATATATATATGTATATATATATCATGGATTATTTATGGATTACAATCCTTTCCTATCATAATTTATTTTATTAAATGGTCTCAGATTATGCCAGGGTCTCTGATGCTTTTCAAATGCAGTTAAACTGACCTTCGGTTTTTTCTTCCCAGAAAACGTTGAGAGCCATGCTAGTATATACTCCTTGCCATAGTTTGGCAGAAAGAATCAAACTGCAGAGACTTCTCCGGCCAGTTGTAGACACCATCCTAGTCAAGTGTGCAGATGCCAATAGGTAAGGCCCTATTGATGAACTGCTTCAAACCCTCTTATATTAAAAGCCTAGCAACAAGCCTCACACCTGGTGAGTATTTGATACATGTTTATTAAATGAGGCTTTGAATATTGTTTTCTAACATGAGATTTGAAGTTAAAATTTAACACTTAAAGCTGTTGAACACTAGGGAGAAGGACTAGTGACAAGTAAAAACCAGGCTAACAGACTGCATGGATAACCATTTTACTGTGTTGTGATTGATTTTCTTTTATCTTAAAGTAATATTCTTTTTTTATTTTATTTTTTATTTATTTTATTTATTTTTATTTTTTATTTTATTTATTTTATTTTATTTATTTGACAGACAGAGATCACAAGCAGGCAGAGAGGCAGGCAGAGAGAGAGAGAGGAGGAAGCAGGCTCCCTGCAGAGCAGAGAGCCCGATGTGGGGCTCAATCCCAGGACCCTGGGACCATGACCCGAGCCGAAGGCAGAGGCTTTAACCCACTGAGTCACCCAGGCGCCCCTTAAAGTAATATTCTTAATCTCAAGTCCAGTTGAAAGAACAGTAGGTGTTATATACATAATCTTACTTTAGAGAATGAGTTACACAGGATAGGAACCAATAAAATCATTGCATCTGCTTAAAAAACCAAACAGTTCCATATTTGCTGTGTTTTAGAATTTTACTCTATGACAGTTTATGCTAAAAAAAAAAAAAAAAGAACCACACAGCAACAAATTCCATTTGGTTCTGCAATAGCCTTAAAAACTGGCGAGCAACAAGAGTAATGCTAATTGGAGAGGTAAGGATAGGTAGAGAAATGAGTCATGATCATGGTAAAAACTAAGCTCTAAGTGTGCTTTTATGAGACCAGTGGTTCGCCCTCTGCTCCATTAATGAGCATAGCTAGCGTTAAAGGTCGTTGGGCATTCTCACCTCTTTACAGTCCTGCCCATCTCGGGGGAGGAAGCGCTGGATCTCCCATGTGCCTCTGCCATGACCCATTTGAAGCTCGCTCAGCCCAACTTTTGTCTTCTTTCCTAAGTCACATGATGTAGTTTTAGGTTTATAGCTGGTCTCAAAAACTAGGTGCTTAGATTTGACTTCTCATTTCATGAAGTCTGTGCTTTGCCTCCATTGTTTTCTCCACACAAGCCTATGAACTGAAAGTATTAGAGATTGTCTTGTTGCTTAGAGAGAATACTATAATACATGAACAACATTAGGCAGATTAATAATTTGCAAAATGCATAGAAAAATTACTGTTTTTCAGAATCAGAGTATGTATTTTTCTGAGAACTTCATTGCTTTTGTGGCATTTGTTGTGTTGTGTGCTTTCCCAAATACTAAAATTAGGTTGTTTACTTGGTCTCTTCAGTGACAGATTATAAAAAAAAAAATACAGTAAAAAGATTTTAAGGTATTTGGAACTCACTCAGGCTATATAAGAGAAATAAAGTTTTGGATGGGAAGGTTTTGTTTTTAATGCAAGAGATTCTTACTGAAAATTCAGAAATCAAAACAAGTATTTTTTATTTTAATGAAATAACCAAAATACGCTTTTTATCTGGTTTGCTATTTAAATCAGTACTTGCTCTTCAAGAGCCACTAGTAAAAGTTCTGTGCTTAACACAAATGAGGTAATGAAATTAACCTTAAGTAATGAATATTATTATTTGTAGGAATATTATTAATGTGATTTTAGTGGTGGAAAAGCAAACACACGTGGAAGCTTTTTTCCCCACCTTTTCACATAGCATTACATTACTTTTGTCCTTTTAATGTGCATTTTATCTAAGATCCAAGTCTGATGTTGCTTCTTTCATTTGTAGTCGTACAAGTCAGCTGTCTATATCGACACTGTTGGAATTATGCAAAGGCCAAGCAGGAGAGTTGGCAGTTGGCAGAGAAATACTTAAAGCTGGTAATAACTTTTTACTTAATAATAATATAGCAGATCTTACCATTTTCCTTCGCCGACTGTCTAATCCTGTAATCTGTGATAGGGCAGTTGTATACAGGATTTTGGAGTAATTGTGTAAATTGATTGAGTCAGCTAACGTTAGAAATATGAATTAATCTAAGGAATTCTTTCTTTTTTAAACGATTTATTTATCCAAGAGAGCACAGAGGGACGGGCAGAGGGAGAATGAGCAGACTCCCTGCTGAGCGCAGAGCCAGACTTGGGGCTCAATCCTAGGACCCTGAGATGATAACCTGAATCAAACTCAAGAGTCAGCCATTTAAGCAACTGAGTTACCCAGGGAACCCCTAAGACATTCTTAAAATGAATATAGTTTGAGTATTGTTCTTGACATTGTGCTGTTTTGACCATGTTTTGTTTTAGATTTTAATATCACTACTTTTCAATTATTTTTGCTTTCCTTTTCACAGGATCCATTGGTATTGGTGGTGTTGATTATGTCTTAAGTTGTATTCTTGGAAACCAAACTGAATCAAACAACTGGCAAGAACTTCTGGGCCGCCTTTGTCTTATAGACAGACTGCTCTTGGAATTTCCTGCTGAATTTTACCCTCATATTGTCAGTACTGATGTTTCACAAGCTGAGCCTGTTGATGTCAGGTAATTTTTCTTCTGCAAATATATATTACTTTATATATATATAAGGATATATTTTAGATTCATTAAAGACTCAGAAGCTACAGAACGTATATATAGGTTACTAATACCTTAATCTTTGATTGATTAAAAAATCCTCAAGTCTAGGCTATTTAATTAAAATTTAATAGATTCTTTGTTCTGAAATTACTTTTTTTCAGTGTATAAGCTTTAAATTAGTACATTTCTTATTTGCATATAGTTTGCAGTAATTTTGACTTGTCTAGTAATTGAATTTTTTTTTTCTTTCAGGTATAAAAAGCTGCTGTCCCTCTTAACCTTTGCTTTGCAGTCCATTGATAATTCCCACTCAATGGTTGGTAAACTCTCCCGAAGGATATATCTGAGTTCCGCAAGAATGGTTACTGCAGTCCCCCACGTATTTTCAAAACTATTAGAAATGCTGAATGTTTCCAGTTCCACTCATTTTACCAGGATGCGTCGTCGTTTGATGGCTATTGCAGATGAGGTGGAAATTGCTGAGGCCATCCAGTTGGGCGTAGGAGACACTTTGGAGGGTCGACATGACAGCTTTTTACAGGCGGCTGTCCCAACCAGTTACCCAGAAACCACAGAGAACAGCTCCCTTGAGCGCACAGACCATTTAGAGAAAACTGGAAAAGGACTATGTGCTACAAAACTGAGTGCCACTTCAGAGGACATTACTGACAGACTGGGCAGCATTTCACTAGGACTTCCCAGTTCAACAACAATGGAGCAACCAAAGCCAATGGTTCAAACAAAAGGCAGACCCCACAGTCAGTGTTTGAACACCTCTCCTTTATCTCATCATTCCCCATTAATGTTTCCACCCTTGTCAGCTCCTTCTTCATCTGCCCCCTCTGCACCAACTGGCACTGGAACGGATGTCTCTAAGCACAGACCTCAGGGATTCGTTCCCTGCAAAATACCTTCTGCATCTCCTCAAACACAGCGCAAATTTTCTCTACAGTTCCAGAGAAACTGTTCGGAAAACAGAGACTCAGATAAATCTTCCCCCATCTTTACTCAGTCCAGACCCCTGCCCTCTAGTAATATACACAGGCCAAAGCCATCTCGACCTTCCCCAGGTAATACAAGTAAACAGGGAGAGGCCTCAAAGAATAGTATGACACTTGATTTGAACAGTAGTGCCAAATGTGATGACAGCTTTGGCAGCAGCAATAGCAGTAATGCTGTCATACCCAGTGATGAGACAGTGTTCACCCCAGTAGAAGAGAAATGCAGATTAGATGTCAATACAGAGCTCAACTCCAGTATTGAGGACCTTCTTGAAGCATCTATGCCTTCAGGTGATACAACAGTAACTTTTAAGTCAGAAGTTGCTGTGCTCTCCCCTGAAAAGGATGAAAATGATGATACCTACAAAGATGACGTGAATCATAATCAGAAATGCAAAGAAAAGATGGAAGCTGAAGAAGAAGAAGCTTTAGCAATTGCCATGGCAATGTCAGCGTCTCAGGATGCCCTCCCCATAGTTCCTCAACTACAAGTTGAAAATGGAGAAGATATCATCATTATTCAACAGGATGTAAGTATAGTCTTGAAGTGATTAGAGAGTTTCCTTGCACCAAGCTAAAAGAAACCTAACTCAGAAATGATGCTTTTCATATGAGTTAATTGTGAGAAGCAGTTTTTCACATAGAGTTATATAACAGTTTTTTTTATTGTTGCTTGACCACAAACACTACTTGCCTATTTCAAAGGCATTTCTGTAATGGTGATCCCTTCTGCATTTGACATTGGTCATCAACACTGTCCCTACAGAGGTCAACTTATAGGTGGTCTGAGAAGCCAGACCAAGCAAGAATAGTATTTTGCTGGGCTAATTTCACAAACTCTTCCTCTTTTAACCTAACAGTAAAAAGATTGCTTTCATTTAATATGTAGACACCAGAAACTCTACCAGGACATACCAAAGCAAAACAACCTTACAGAGAAGACACTGAATGGCTGAAAGGTCAGCAGATAGGCCTTGGAGCATTTTCTTCCTGTTACCAGGCTCAAGATGTGGGAACTGGAACATTAATGGCTGTTAAACAGGTAAATACCTAGTGAGCACATAAATGACTTAAATTATAAAAATGAAGCATGAGCAAATAAGAAAAATAAAGGATATGTTCCTGTGTGTATATGCTTTAGTTCTTTTTCAGAAACCTAAATTTCAAAGTAAATACTGCCAAAGCACCAAAAGCATCATGAATTCTAATGAAAGCTGAAGCATGATTTATTTTAATGAGCTGCAGAAATGTCCCCTGATAGTCTTCTTTCTTTCTTCTTAAAATTTCATATATTTATTTGGGAGGGGGGGAGGCATGAGTTAGGGGAGGGACAGAGGTAGAGGGAGAAGGAGAAGCAGCCTCCTCCCCTGATGAGCAAGGAGCCCGATAGGGGACCGATCCCAGGACCCTGAAATCATGACCCAAGCCGAAGGCAAATGCTCAACCAACTGAGCCACCCAGGTGCTCCTGAAAGTATAGTCTTAAAGTATGATTATTTAAAATGCAGCACCACAATGGGCCTCATAGAGGTTGTTTTTGGTTGTGCCTTTTTTTTTTTAAGATTATTTATTTATTTGACAGACAAGAGATCACAATTAGGCAGAGAAGCAGGCAGAGGGGGAAGGGGGAAGCAGGCTCCCTGCTGAGCAGAGAGCCCAATGCAGGGCTCAATCCCAGGACCCTGGGATCATGATCTGAGCTGAAGGCAGAGGCTTAACCCACTGAGCCACCCAGGTGCCCCTGGTTGTGCTTTTTATAAACAAGAGTTATCTCTAGTTTACTTTTTATGAACATCCTGATCAAAATAAGAAAATTAAAATAAAGCTTTCATTTTTAAATCATGTTGGTTCTTCTATGAATAGGCTTTTCTTATTCCATCTTTGGACAGTTTGGGAGGAATGGCTACATCCCAGTTTTTTCCCTTTTTCTGATATTTCATGGCTTCTTAAGCTAGACTCTCTTTTCTTTCTAATTTGATTTTTTTTATGGAGTATCTACATTGTATCCATAAGCATAAATGCTAACTCCTGTTAATCTATAACTGATTTGAAATTGTCCACTTTAGATCAGATTGTTAATAAAGTTTATAAATAGAAATTCGTCAGAATTCAAAACTTTATAAACATGCTTACTGAAACAGGTGACCTATGTCAGAAATACATCTTCTGAGCAAGAGGAAGTAGTGGAAGCATTAAGAGAAGAGATCAGAATGATGAGCCATTTGAATCATCCCAACATCATTAGAATGTTGGGAGCCACGTGTGAGAAAAGCAATTATAATCTCTTCATCGAATGGATGGCAGGTACGTTCCTGTTTTAAATTGCCAGTAATAGTACATGAATGTAACTTTCTGGCTAATACTAAATTTGAGAAAAACAGCTTAATAAACACTTATTTTTAGTAAGTAGTTGCTTTTCTAATAGCAAATCACCCCTAACATAATATGAACTGGAAATACTTTGTTGTCTTACACTGATTGATTGGTGGGCAGCAAAACAAAGTGTACTGAGTAATAGTACAAAGCTCTCAAAGAGGGAGGGGAGCCAAGAGGATTGGGTTGCCCATTTTGTCTTACATTTGAATATAAATAAGATATTCATTGTCTCTACCTTTCATACTTTTTCAATGTTCCTTTTTAGATGATTGTGTAGCACTGTTTTACAGGAATAATTTTAAGACCTGCTTATGTGTAAGAGCCATATTTTTCCAGATAGCCATCATCAGTTGGACAGATTTGAGATGTTTTAATGTGACAGTATAAAAATGAAATTAAGATATAACTTGGAAAAATTATTGTAGGCAAACTAGCACTTAAGCATAAAGTTGAACCTTGTCATCTACTTGAAAAATTAAAACTGAATTTTATGTGGTATCATATCATACATACAGTAGAACAAGTAACTTGGGATATAATGAATGAACAAATGCTTGGTTTCACATCTTAGATTTTTTTGCATCTGAAGGAGTGTATTTCTGTTTACATATTTGTTTTTTGGTATGTTCTCTGATGTTGGTTGTAGCTGTGTAGATTGTTGTTTTTAGGTTGACTATTATAAATACTTCTCAGTGTGAGGTTTATTGAGCTTGTGACCTGTCCCAGGTCAGAGCTCATAAATAGTAAGAGTATGAAGCTTCTTGCTGGCTCTTCTGTCTCCTCTCTGGTCTGGCTTCTCTCTACCTTCTGCAAAATAACATGTTAGCACTCTTTACTTAAGTCTTACTAAGAAAGGTATTTTGTATATCTTGGTCAAAAAGAGAGGTGAATGGTACATTGCAGAAATAGTTCCATCCAAAATTGTTAAGTTTCAAAGCTTTCTGAAATCTTGACCTTCCAAAAAACTAGGTCATGAAAGTTGGATGAAAATGTCTAATTGATAGGTTTTGAGATCCCTGGAATATATTAGTTTCAAAATCCGTTTCACTTCTGGTGCAGAGTATAAATTTAATATTTCAAATTGAACATGAGCTCTGGCACAAGCATATGTAACCAAAGTGTAATAAAACTGTTTTAATTTTGGCTTGAGTTTATGATAATTATTATGTTTGTCTTATAGGGGGATCTGTGGCTCATTTGCTCAGTAAATACGGAGCCTTCAAGGAATCAGTAGTTATTAACTATACTGAACAGTTACTTCGTGGCCTTTCATATCTCCATGAAAACCAGATCATTCATAGAGATGTCAAAGGTAGGAATTCTTTTAATTACTACCTACTACCAATAAATAGAAAACAAATGTAGTGTTTTTTTATAACTTGGACCTTTGTTGATAGTTTCTGACTTGAAACTATGGGGTTCAAATTAGAAACTTGGGGTTTCTCCTGAGTAACTCAAATCACTAGAATTAATAGAAGTGAAAGGAAACTGTGGAGTCATGTAATCTGTCTTCCTTGGAGGGACTGATTTTTCCAGTCCTACTGCTAATTGATGGCAAATCAGGTATAAAAATCGGGTCTCTGATTTCCTATCTTGGTCTCATGACCTCCCGCCTCCCCAAAAGTTCCTATTCCTGGCTTTATTTAGAATAATTGGGATGTCATGTACTTTTTTTGAGAAAAATCCTTTCAAATCTTTTGCAGTTCATCTTATTAAGAACAACGTTGGCTTTCTGACATGAATGTCTGTGGCTAGTATTTGACATAACATATTCAAGTAATTTTATAACATTAATTTTTTATAAGTTAGAATTGTGAAATTCCTGTGTATGTATATATCCTGTATATATATTCCTGTATATATTTTTGGGCTAGTGAGTGTGTTTCAGTAGGACTTTGTCTTAAAATGGAAACTACACTAAAATTTTAACTTCGAGGGAAGATTTTTGATGGGAATCATTATATTAAAGGTTTTCAGCACTTAGTAACATTTTATTAAATGTCTGCCTTTATTTCCTTCTGCCTCGTTACTTTAATCTTCCCTCTGAGGATTTGGATTTTATTTATTTTGCACTGTTGTTACCTCTGTGCCTTTAGCAAGAATGAAATGAATTCAGAGGGGAGATTTTTCTGAACCCTTCCATGTCCACTTCCTTTGTTACGGTCCTATTTTGTTAGTATCTTACTGAGTTTCTAATCTGTTCTTTTGTTTTGACAGGTGCCAATTTGCTAATTGACAGCACAGGTCAGAGACTGAGAATTGCAGATTTCGGAGCTGCAGCCAGGTTGGCATCAAAAGGAACTGGTGCAGGAGAGTTTCAGGGACAGTTATTGGGGACAATTGCATTTATGGCACCTGAGGTGAGAAGCAGCTTTGAGTGTGATGAAAGAAAATACCTGGAGTTCTAGATGACAGAATTAGAGCAAATTAATTTGCAATGTTATTCAGTATATGCTTATAAATTAGAAGCGCATGGCTCTAAAAATAAGGTTTTAATTATATCCTTGATTTCAGAACCCTTAATCCCTGCCTTTCCACCTTTGTCTTAACAAAATTTTAAAAGGCAGGTTTTAATAGTTTGTTTATAAGACTGTTTCTAACAAAGAATTTTATCCTTTGGGGTGATTTGTACTACTGTTTTGTAGTACACTCAAAGCACACATAGTTAGGAATCTCAACAGTTGGTCTCTCCCTGTTCCAAAGGGAGGTGAGCACAGAGAAGCCGGTCTTAGTAGCAGTGGAAGAAGTGTAACTAAGCACTGCTGTTCTGAATCAGGCTTCATCTGTTGTGTTCCGAACTCTTCGTGTTTACATGTAGTGATCACTTGTCCTCTGGCCGCTTGGTTTACTTAAGTGGGTGCTTGGAAATTCTGTGATATGTCTCTTTCTTTCATTATCTCAGAATTTTCCAAAATACTTTTGTGCCACATAGGAGATTAATAAGTTTATTGATGAAATAAATGAGACATCAGGGTAGTCCATGGAGTTACCATTGTTTTGATCTGAAATTAAAAAAACTAGGATCTATAACTACAGAACATCTTTCTCTTTTTTTAATGAGTCATATTTCCAAATTAACTCTCCATTTTAGGTACTAAGAGGTCAGCAGTATGGTAGGAGCTGTGACGTATGGAGTGTTGGCTGTGCCATTATAGAAATGGCTTGTGCTAAACCACCTTGGAATGCAGAAAAACACTCCAATCATCTTGCTTTGATATTTAAGGTAACTGTGATATAAAAATTACTTCTTTCTGCTAAAATTGGCAGGAGGCAGATTTTCATGGATTCCCCTTAACTCTCAATCTCAGGTGAAAGCATATCCTCTTTGAAATAAATATGCATGTGTACATCTCCAGGAATTTATATGGTGTGGTGAATATGGGCAGCAAATATAGTCAGTCCTCATTTTTCACAGTAGTAAGGCTCTATAAAGTCACTTGGAACAATGAGTTAGCAAATGATAAATCATTGTTCCTAGGTGAAATACATAAATGGATGTATCCAACTTTCAAAAGTAAGAACATAGAGCTTTTTATGTACACAATCTGCCAATTTTTAAAATCAGATTTACTCTTTGGTGTATTTTTAAAAATTACACCTGAATCAGGTACCAAATCCTATCTGTTCTATCTTTCTGACAATGCTCAGATCCATTCTGTCCCTTTCCAGCAAAGAAGAGTATCATAGTTGAGATTTTTAGCTTTTGATCCAGACATGTACTAGTTAAAAGCTTGGGCTCTGACATGTGCTAGTTAAAAGCTTGGGCTCTGACGGGATGGGGTAACTGGGTGATGGACATTGGGAAGGGTATGTATACGTTGTCATGAACACTGGGTACTATATAAGACTGATGAATCACAGACATGTACCCCTGTAACAAATAATACGTTCTGTGTTAATTGAATTTAAGTTAAACAAAAAAAAGCAGCTTGGGCTCTGGAGTGTTACAGACATGGTTTCAAACCACGGTCTAGCCTTTAATAGCCCTGTCACTAGGGGAATAACTAACTCAATCTACCCTCTGTTTTTCTGGTTGTAAAATAGGTGTAATGACAGCACCTACTTCATGGGATTATCTCTGGGCCTGAGTAAATCGAAGTCCACTGCACTGGCACCCCAGCACCTCCCAGCTGCCATAACTGCCTCTGGTCCTTCCCATACTTAGAGACCTTCTTCCTTTGGTGCAGCTGTGTGTCTGATGTACAAAATGGGCAGGTGTGGTCTTTCTCACTTTGAATAGCTCTCTGTGCTGCATAATATAAAATGTAGGGAGAGCATACAGTATAAATACTTTACCTATCTAAGCATTTTGATGCTCTCAGCCGTGTTCATTTGAGACAATAAGGGAAATGCATAGATCCATCTGCTCAGGATGTATTTGGTCAAATTCTAAAAATCCTAAAATTTGAAGGTTCTTAGAGGAAGCCTCCCATCCGGCTGGTGAGTTTTCCCATAAACTTTGTCAGAAGAAAGTCCACACACTTCAGCTTCCGTTCTGTGCACAAGATCCATGTGTACTACAGAGTTCCGACATGCAAGGTGTCAACACACTGGTGGTTTTTCTTACAGATTGCAAGTGCAACTACTGCTCCATCGATCCCTTCACACTTGTCTCCTGGTTTACGAGATGTGGCTCTTCGGTGTTTAGAACTTCAACCTCAGGACAGACCTCCGTCAAGAGAGCTACTGAAGCATCCAGTCTTCCGTACGACTTGGTAGCCAATTATAGACTCTGATGGAGACAGGATGCTCAACAAGGCAAAACTTTTGTGGGGAACCACGCTGATAATCTGCTGGCCTTCATGCCACTGAACAGCTATGAACAGGACCAGTGGGGAACCCTTACCTAAGTATGTGATTGACAAATCATGATCTGTACCTAAGCTTAGTATGCAAAAGCCCACAATTTGTGCAGAAACTGTAAACCGTGCCTTTCAAAGAACTGGCCATAGGTAAACAGGAAAGCAGTGAAGTTTGCATGACTAACAGAAGCGTATTTTGGGGGTTTTTTGGAGCACTTTTTCAGCAATATTAGCAGCTGAGGGGCTCAGGATCTATTTTAATGTTTGAATTATTCTTCCATTTCATATCGTGATCACAAGCAGGGGGTTCTGCAATTCCGTTCAGTTTTGTTTTTTTTTTTTGTCACTGGCTCCCAATCAGTATCTGCCTCTTTTAGGTCAGAATATGCTATAAGTAGCAGTAAATATATTTTTAAAAGTTGATAACTTCTTTATGAACCATAGTTGACCTTTATTTTTTAAATGCCTGGGCAGTTGTGGTTCACTGTGCATTTTACTGTTGGCCCATTCATTTCGTTTTTGGAAATCATGGTTCTGTATTTTCATTTCACCTTCACTTTTGTTTAATATTCAGGGAAAGGTGATTTTTTCAAACCAGAAAAAAAAAAAATAGAACTAGGTGTGAACTAGAGTTTATTAAGTATCTTGCTATTGCAAGAGGGTTTTTTTTAATACAGATTTAATTTTGTTTGTTTTTAAAATTGGAATATAATAAAATACTACCTTCACTGAGTCAGTCACTGCTTTTTTCATGCAGGTTAAGTATAAATTAAGTGAAAATCAACTATTCTCTGTGATGCAGCTCAAAACCAAGATCAAGATGACCTTGAAATTTGATTTTTTTAATGTATTGGTTTCTTTTATAGGAAACATCACACCTTTGAAGTCTTACTTTGTATGTAACAATCCATCATTCATCATCCATCACCACTAATAATATTAAACTGCTATTTTCCTTCTACCATGCATTATCTCTTTACAGTAGGCGTGGCTGATAATTAAAGAAATTAACTAATAACTACCAATGAGTAATAGTGTTTTTACAAAATAAATTTTCTTGGAACTCTGAAAACATGTTCAGAAAGAAAAGTGAAATTGAATTTGACTTACACCCTAATTCTTGGATTTTGCTCAATTATCTAATGGTTTTCATCAGAGTTGAATTCACATGCATGGAATCCTGAAGGAAAATGGCAGCTCTTTTATCCTTTTTTTGCGACTCTTTAAATATTTAATAAAACTTTTTGAGATGAGAAGTTTTAACTCTTCAGAAGCCAGTTGAATTATTGCAGAGTGAAACAATTGGTTATTCTCAAAGACTCAGGATAAACTAAATAAGCTATACAGAGTACATTTTAAATGTACATCACAAATTGGAAGTAAAATAAGTTACAAGATAAGTTTACAGAGATATATTGCATATAATTTTTAAAAGGCAGGTGTTTTTTTTTTTTTTTTTGGTTTGGTTTGGTTTTTTGTTTTTTTTTTTTACGTGAATGTGTCTCTTAGTGAAATTTTACATTCCTTTGTTTTTGGAAGATTGGCAATATTTGAAGAGTTAAAAATAGTACCGAAATGTGAAGTTTGGTAGCTCTAAATGTGTTGTACTTGACTTTCTTTTTTTATTTTCTATCTTTTCTGTGTGTGTGACTACTTAGAATTTTCACAACCCTAATAAGATTGTTTCCGAGTTTCTCATGTGCAAGCTTTAACAGATGCACTCTTGCCATTTTATGTACTGGAAGATCATCACTGGTCAGATTAATACTGTGTCTGACAGAAATGTAAACTGTATAAACTGAGGAACCTCAGCTAATCAGTATTACTTTGTAGATCACCATGCCCACCACATTTCAAACTCAAACTGCCTCTAGATGCAAATCCATTGTTTGAGTTTGTTTGCAGTTCCCTCAGCTTGCTGGTAATTGTGGTGTTTTGTTTTTTGTTTTGTTTTGTTTTCAATGCAAATGTGATATAATATTCTTATTTTCTTTGGATCAAAGCTGGACTGAAAATTGTATTGTGTAATTATTTTTGTGTTCTTAATGTTATTTGGTACTCAAAAGTTGTAAATAATGTCTACTGCTGTTTATTCCAGGTTCTACTACCTCAGGTGTCCTATAGTTCTTCTTCTACCAAAGTTCACTTTCACAATGAAATTATATTTGCTGTGTGACTATGATTCCTAAGACTTCCAGGGCTTAAGGGCTAACTTCTATTAGCACCTTACTGTGTAAGCAAATGTTACAAAAAAAAAATCTCTGGGTTAAGAAAATTTGGCTTAAATGTATCCTTTGTTATTTTAAATATATCGAGATATTTTAATTAAAATTTTTACCCCATTGAACCAATTTTATAGTATTTGTACCTATTTTGGTGTTTGTCTTTATAGTAAATAAAAGTTTTTGAACAAAGGTTGATAATTTTATTTATTTTGCCAGCTGCCCAGTTATGTCCTTTATAGATGAAGGATCCAGACCAAGAATATGTATTCCTCGTAGTCATCAGGTTTCTTCAGTTTCATTCAATCCAGAATCATTCCTTAGTTTTTTATGTTCATGACCTTCATATTTTTTAAGATTACAGGTTTTTGTTTTATAGAAGTCCTCCACTGGAGTTCATCTGGTGCTTCCTCATGACTGGATTCAGCGTATGCATTTGTGACAGCAATATCAGAGAGGTGATGCTATGCTCTTCTTGGTGTGTTTTTTTTTTTTTTCCTTTAAGATTTTATTTATTTGAGAGAGAGTGATCAAGAGTGGAGGGGAGGGGGAGCCACAGGAAGAGGAAGCAGCAGACTCCCTGCTGAACAGGGAGCCCAGTGCCGGCTCTTCCTGGTGTATCTTATCAGGAGGCGCTTCAAAGCCAATTTGTCCCAATGCTGGTGATATTAACAGTGATCATCTGAGTAGGCTTCACCACTGTAAAGTTACCATTTCCCTTTGTAGTTAATATCCAGCTTAGTATGGATATTAAGTATTTTGTAGAGGTGATACTTTGAGATTACATAGTTTGTTCTTCATTCAACTTTCACTCTCTGCTCTTAACCTTCTTGAATTCTGAATTATTACTCCGATAGATACCAAATGGTGATTTTTCTAGTTCTTGTATTCTTTCTGTATTTTGTTAATAGACATTTTGCTATAAGATGAGCTTTCTCTTCTCCTATTTATTACTCATTTATAAGAATGGTTTTTTAGATTCCTATACAGTGAGAGAAAATCAATTAACTGTCATCATGTATTGGCTCAAATAGTCATCCTCAGCCCCTGGGTCCCTCTGAAAGCCAGCTTCTCTGTCTACTAGCAAGCCACCTTCTTCGAACACTTCCATATTTAGAGACTCATCTTGTGTGTTCTCTGTTTCAGCCCTGGGATCAGCCATTTTCCAAAGATTCCTTTGATAGAGGCTAGTATTTAAAAACAGGGTGCTAAAAATACTCTTTGCTCTTGGGTGTCACTTTTGTGTCACCTGCTCCCAGAGTTTTTCTTGTGCACATACAAGAAATATACATACACACACACACAAACCATGAGTTCATACCAATCTAATTTCAGTCTACCACACGAGATTTATTCAAGCCTCCCCTCTTTCCATATTTTTAATCCTTTCCTGGACAGTGAAAAACCTGACTCACATGTACCTCAATATATTGACTTATTTGTTCAAGTCCCGCCCACCAACCCCAACCCCAGTGTGTAACCAATCTTCCTAATCCCTGACAGGCTGCCTTCCCTGCATGGGGCCCAACCCCTGCTGGACTGCCTTTGTTCCTACTTATTTGTAGGCTTTCATATATATATGTTCCACATATATTTTTTAAAGCCATCTTACATGTATATATAAAAGTTGGATGATACATACTCTACATATAATAGCATATATATTATATATACAATATACTTTATTTTTTTAGAGTACTTTCAGGTTCACAGCAAAATTTAGCAGAAGATTCAGAGATTACTCATATGCTTCCTGGCCCCATTGACTCACAGCCTCCCCAACTATCAACATCTAAGGACTTTTTGCCAAGAAGGAAAGCTCTTCCAAAAAAGTTAAGTTTTTTTTTTTTAATCTTAAGTGAAAATTATAACTCTTTTAACACTCTACCTTATGTGGCTTGACATGTTATATACTTTCATATAAATACTATTACTGTTCCTAGGCAGCACAGATTAAACTTAGTTAATTCTTTTTATATTGTATAGGAATGAAGATTCACTCACCAGAAGTATTTGTCAGGCATACCCTGGAACAGTGATTACGCTCCATTTCACAAATGCAGAAACCAGCCAATTGCAATCATTCTGCAATCAAGCTACACCAGGGAACTCCCTTGGCCTGCCCCACAGTTTTAGTCTTAGATTGTACCTTGTGGTTGTGTGCTCATTTCTACTTTCATTCTTCATTTTTCTGCCAGTAGTCATCTCTCACAGGATCAAACTTAATCAGAAACAAGATGAATTAAGCCTGCAAAATAGGTAATGTCACGGATTAAGTGGTGGTTCAGACGGCATTTTCTGTATCTACGTTTGTTGTAAAGACTCTGTATAATGTGAAAATATGCATCTTTTTTTTTTATTAAAGAGAGGAAGCGAGGGGGGCAGGGATGAGGCGCAGGCAGGAGAGAGAGATTCTTAAACAGGTTCCATGCCCAGTGTGGGCCCCGACATGGGGCTCAATCTCACAACCCTGAGGTCACAACCTGAGCTGAAGTCAAGAGTCAGACACTTAACCAATTGAGTCACCAGGTGCCCCCCTAAATGTGCATCTTTTAAATAGGCTTTAGATATTACTGTTAAACAGTACACTTATGTCATTTCCAGAAAATAGTACCTTTGAGAACAGATTTTTGCCTTAGAGGAATTAAAATAAATGCTATTGTTCTTTGATTCTTTGCCATCTATTTAAATGGCAATAATAATTGTGTAAAAGGGCTGTATATATAGGATAGATAGAATCTAGAAAAACGTTGGGGTATCCTGCTTACCCAGAAATGCCAACAAATGCACATGTGAATTAATATAGTAATTCACTTGTTATAAAATGCATGAAATACTGATGCCACTGGGGAAAACAGTGACTAAACAGAAACTTTTGCAATATGTCCCCTTTCTACACCATGACAGTTTTTAGGTTTCTAGGGAACAGTAGTAGGGTCATAAGGAGGGACCTGGAAACCATGAATACATACATACACTAGGTCAAATCTGGCTCTGCCACTTGCCATTTGACCTTCTGAACCTTCACTTCTGCCTCTATAGAATGAAAGTGACAGTGTAGAACACTGTCAGGCACATTGGATGCACACTGTATGTTTGTATAAATAGATGAAAAGGTTACAGATCCAAATACCTATGTGGCTTGAAGTGTCCTTAGCAGGGTCTATGGCCAACCTAAGAGTTCATGCCAAATTCATGTTCAAGAAGGGGTCTGTGCTTGCCATACTGGAATGGGAAAAAAATAAAAGCCTCTAAATTTTTAAAAGAAGCTGGAAATCTGGATTTTATCTGCTACTTCCTGTTGTTTAAATATGGGAAACTAATTCAAAATTTGGATTAGGAACTATAGGCTAAACAAAACTCATATGCTAGTTTTAACCTGTGGCTAGCCACTTTTTGATCTCTGATTTGGTCCAGTCTTTTAAAACAAAAGAAGGTAGACTACTGGAGGAGAATCTCAGTTTTGGAAAAGTGGATCCAGGACTTTTGTCTTTTAAGAGCTGTGAGAAGAGGGGAAAGTGGAGATGCTGATTACAGATGCTAGAGAATAAACCTCTGAGGAGAAAATTAATGGCTAACTATATGCACTAATGTGAAATGTTTACCATTAAATCCTAATTATCAGGTAGCATATTATGCATATGTAACATTCAAATATGCCATCACTGTGATATTGTTAACTTTGTGAATTTTATTTGACAACAGATATTCTGTATTATGTGAATAGAGAACTCCATCCATGATTGAAGCAGCATCACCACTTTATAGTCAACCTGGAATCACTCTAACCCATGCCTCATGGCCCTCATACCTTTGCCACCCACGCAGGGCTAAAACTAAGCTAACATGATGATGTAAGATGCAAAGACATCACACCCCAAAGTACCTTTCCAACAATGCTGAAATTCCTATTTAGAAGTTTAGAGATAATTAAATGCTATTTTCCTTTAAAGTCAATTTGCTAAAGATTTCTCACCACGTATAAAGGCATACTGAGGGGTGCCTGGGAGGCTCAGTCAGTTAAGCGTCTGCCTTCAGCTCAGGTCATGATCCCAGAGTCCTGGGATCCAGCCCGGCATTGAGCTCCCTGCGCAGTGGGGTGTCTGCTTCTCCCTCTCCCTCTGCCTGCCGCTCCCCTTGCTTGTGTCTGCTCGCTTGCTTGCTCTCAAATAAATAAATAAATAAATAAAATCCTAAAAAAAAGAGAGAGAGATACTGAGAGAATAAGG